CATCTAAGGGGAATGCTGCCAACGTCACCTTCTGAGCGTCGGTGCTAGGGAAGATCTCGAACAACTTTTCCATTTCCAAAACCCACGCCTCAGCCTTCATCAGCTCTATACCCCCAGAGAATCTCGGTGGTTTCATTTTCTTGAACTCCCTGATCAAAGCTATTGTGCCATCCCCATATAAGGCTGGCTGCGAAGGAACTTACGGCACTGGAGGAGGTGGAGGCGGGACTACATTTCGACCGTTGGTCTGCTCGGCCTGAGTCGACATAGCACTAGTGTACTGCTGTCTCGTTTGTCTCAACTCGCGGGCCAAACCTTCAACTAATCTTTCTAGTCTATCCAATCTGTCTTCGGGCTGATCCCGGCCAATTGGAGGTCTACCTCTCCTCATGATGCTATGAGCATGCAAAGTGTGACTTTAAAACAAATAAGCAAATAACCACGTAGGCAAGTAACAAACAGGTATGTCAAGACAATGCACACCTCGTTCAAATAGCAAGCACCATGATGCAATCCTAACATCTTTCTAAGGGAAATCCTATGCTCTTTAGGACTCAAAGTGTGTGAATAACGTATACTGAGGAACTTATGCTCTGATACCATTCTGTCACGACCCCAAACCGCCCCTAGTAGTTTGGTGCCGTGATGGCCAGTAATCCGTAATTACCGAAGGCCAACTTTCAAAAGTTTAACACAATCAGAGTATAGATATAGGGGCTCACAAATGCGGAAGCAATAAATCAAAATACAAGTGGTCCATAAGAGCAGTGCATAAGTCAAATGAAATGGCATACATCTTTACATAACTTTACAAATCGGATACAACAAAGTAAAATACGTATTACATCTTGATCAAAAGGCTTCTTGAGCCGACATATATAAAATATAGTGAATACAAGCCAAGAAGCATGATTTTCAAGATTCGCCGACATAGGCAAATGACATCGCCGACGTGAATACAAAATAAAACCGACATAATCATGGATCCAAAACAAGCTTTCAAAAACACATTCTAGGTGTCGCCGACGTCCTGCTCATCACCTACATATATATAGAGAGGGTGAGCTTGGATACTCAATGAATGGTACAAATATTAAAGGTTTTGCATGAATATAGCCGAAGTCTTTCAAAACGAAACATGCCAAAAACCATACGAATATTAGCTGAGATTCTTTCAGAACAAAACACATCAAACTTTATCAAAATAAAGGATGAACCGTATTCATCTATCAAAGTCTTGCAAGTCTCAAGGGATGCTTACTGACATCGGCAAAACACAGATCAAACTTTCCGAACAAACAAATCCACGCAGTAAACCGTCAGTGGCAAAGCAAAGACTGCACGATCCGTAATCGATTAATCGAAGGTACTGCGAAAGTTTATAGTCCTCCAGCACAAGGGACTTGTGGTACTTAGGCCCGTAGCCGCTTTAACATGATGGGACTTGTGTTACTTAGGCCCGTAGCCCGCTTTAACACAGTAGTCTTTCCAAGGGAGGACCGTATCCTTTTTATGCTTAGTGCTGCGAAAGTTTAGAGTCCTCCAGCACAAGGGACTTTTGTACTTGGTACTGCGAAAGTTTAGAGTCTTCCAGTACAAGGGACTTTCCAAGAATGACATCAAAACAAGGCTTATACTTGATACATCAAAACAGAGCTATTCATTCATGCTTAACAAATACTTTCGTCAAAACAAAGCAAAGCAAGATTTATCAAAACAGTATAACATAGCTTTATTAGAAATACCACTCACATAGATCTCTTCGGGTGTAGGCTCAAAGCAAAGATCAAGGACCTACAATCACATGGCAATCACATTCTCAAAACAAGCTTTACATGTATGCAAATGATCTCGGCATTCTCACCAGGTCCAAGTCAATAGCAAAGCAAAATATGCTGGGAGTTTAAACACTGCTCCCGTCTTATGAAAACACACTGGGTACCAGTCAGGTCTTTGCCAAGGTCCTACACCTCCTTGCCGAGGTGTGGTCCCGATGGCCTCATTCAAAAGCAAAGTCGGGAAAACCTGGGTTTCCCTTTGGAGAACATGAAGAACATGATGAACACGATCATGAGAAAGATGAATGCAAGATCATAACTTGTTACAAAAATCTGAGATTTCATGCCATGAGTTCAAAACATGGACCTGGGTACCCATACAAGAAGATCATGCAAGAACAAACACAAAAACATGGTTCTGGTTCCAAACTTTCGGATCAAAACGAGACTTTCTTCAAGAACACATGAACACTATCTTTCTCTTTCGAAACCAACTTCAAATCGATGCATGACGTGCAAAATAGTTCCGATCATGCAATGCAGCTAGATGATCAATAAGAAAAACAAGAGTAGGTTAAGATTCTAACCTCAAAACTCGAACCGAACGGTTCAATCTTCGAAGATCAAGCTTGGAAGATCTATTTTCACTCAAGAACTTCTCCTCCTTACTCTAGAGCTTCTCTCTCTAAAGGCAAAGATTTGAGACAAAATGATTTTTTCTAGGTCTGCCGGCTGTCTTAACAATCAGCTCGGACACGTGGCGCTACCGGGTTGGTTCAACTCAAAAGGTGATTGATTGATAAGACAAGTCTATGACAAAGCGTATGCAGCAAGCTAGGGCAAGACACATCGGCAAGTAATGACATCGGCCAAAGTCAAAGCTTCGGCAACAGGGTAACAAAGACATCGGCTAGGGAGGACGACACTTGACTAAGCTGTGCCACACCTTGGCCGGGGCGTGCCACACCTCGGTCTAGGCCATACCTGCCCAAGGACAAGGATCACTAAGTGCAAAACATCTCGGCAAACATGCCCGAGGTGAAGATGGGTCGACCCAGTGGTCCCAAAACAGTTCTAAGTACAAAGGTTCAGAGGTGAACTAAGCTCAAGATGACCTTGGCTACACACCAAGCAAGGAACAAAATCATGCAAGCAATACTTTAACAAAACAAGGCAAGGCAAGACTTGCAAAACAACATAACAAGGCAAGATTATGCATGAATGTATGCAAGTATGACAAGAGTAAGGTGAGGGTTACTACAGCAATAGACTCACTTGTTTGGTTCGGTGAGCCTTTTTATCATCATCATGTATGTATCCATATAAGTAGAACCTAAAAAGCAATCGAAAATTCTCTTTTCCTTTTCTTCAATTGAGAGAAGCTCTAGAATTGTATTGGGTTTGTGTCCATTGACGATAATGTGGTGCAGCGGGTATTTTAAGAAGGGGTCGAGATTTCTACCAACAACCCTCTAGTTCTTCATCTTCATCTTCAATCATCCAATCCTTACCTCTTCATGTGGTATGCAAAATTAAAAATTTCTTTCTTTTAATCATTCTTGTACCTGTTCTGCATCTGGGTTTCTTCAATTTTTTGCAGATGTTTGATTCACTTTTTGTTTTCACTTGAAATCTGAATTTGTTCATCTGGGTTTGCTTGCATATGTACATATTAGTTGGAGAATACCCATTTGAGAATTTCTAGGAATTAGATGTAGATTCTTTATGTGTTGGTGGTATTTTGGTTCTAATGGTAGGAAATTAAAAATGAGACTACTTTGAGAAATTGGTGTAAAATTGTTTAATTATAATTGGGTTATGTTGAACGCAATTTCGTGATAATTGACACCCATCTCAGGATTATTAGAATTTAGGATCTCTTAAAAGTGAAGCAATTTTTTGAGATATACTGAAAGTATGTCTCCGATTTTGTTGTTCTTTTATTGATTTTTAATGGCATTGAAGAATTTAAAATACCCATTTGAGAATTTCTGAGAATTAGGTGTGGATTTTCTTTGTATTGGTGGTATTTTGGTTTGAATGTAGGAAAAATTAAATGTGAGACATTTTTGAGAAATTGCTGTAGAATTGTTTGTCAATTAATTTTTTTTTTTTCATTTGGTTATGTTGAACGCAATTTCTTGATATTTAAGACCCATCTCAGGATTATTAAAATTTTGGTTCTATTGAAGGTTAAACACTTTTTTTGAGATATACTGAAAAGTGTGTCATTGATTTTGCTATTCTTGTATTGTACTTTTTAATTTCATTGAAGGTAATTTCATGAATCCTGTACCCACTTCTGATTTTCTGAGAACTTGGTGTGGATTGTATAGATTGGTTTAAGTGTTACTGACTTTAATTTTTCTAAATTTCTCTAAGCATTTAAGCTCTTTAGGGATTTGTGGTAAACGCTATATAATAATATAGACATAGGGGTTAACAAGGAAGCTATTTTTTAATGTTTGGGATCCATTTAAGACTTGGCGAGCATTTGGTTTGGGTGCTGTTGAGTGATATTCGTTAACAGATAATGTTTTCATTTTTGGGCTTTCTTTGGTTATATTTTAGCGAGTAATACTACGAACCGAGACTTATCAACCCAGAAATTATTCAAAATTATCAGCTTGTGGTTCAGATTTATTCTACACATGAACCTCACACTATTCAAATTTAATCTTCACCACACAACACACAAGTTATGTCTGGGAGAGTAGCTTTTCTCTATTTTAGAAGGCCTCTGATGATGAATTGGAAATTATATTAGTTTTCTTGAAAATCAATTGGGTGTATAATGAGAATTTGTATTATGTGGGTTCATTTTTCTAAGAAATTATGAATTAGATTTTCTACAGCCATGAAGCTGTTGTTTTTTCAGAAATTCTATACTCTTAGGTAGTGTTTGGTTTATTGGAATGAAGTGGAATAGAATGATCATTTCCTCAAAATATTCATTCTCATGTTTGGTTAGACTAAAAATATAATGACAAATGCATTACAAATAGAATTGTCTTTCACTATGTTAAGGTAATGGTCATTCCATAAGAAAGTCTAAGGAATCACCATTCCATTTCATTCCAATGAACCAAATAGAGCATTATTTATGTTCCTTTCAGAGACCCTCTTGTGTTGTTTCACCTGAAGAAAGTGATAGATATTGTTTGTTATTTGGAAATATTTCACAAAGTGTTCTAATCGTGTGGTTGGTGTGCATGAATTAAGATGGGTATTGAAGTGCTTACTAGTATGTCCTCAAAGTGGCTTTGAGGAAGAAATTGGTGGTTACTTGTAGCTTGTTATAGTGCGTATATGATTTATGTTTAAACACACTGCTTAGGCTTGCAACTTCTTTTCATGCGTCTCTTTTAAGTGTTGTTGGGCTCCCTAAGGTTGTGTTTGGATTAAGGATTTGACTAAGGATTTGGAAATGGAAAGGAAAAGACGAGTAAAATGTGAAGGAAATATTAGCTAATTTTTTGCTCAATTTCTCTCAACTTTTCCTTTCCCCTTCCAAATCCCTACCAAAATCCATGATCCATAGGGTAAGTTTCTCTTTGGAAGAGGAAAATCCTTTGAGATAACATTTCAGTTGGGAAGTTCTTCCTTTCATTTCTTTGTCTTTGTCTTTTTCTTTTGTAAAGATGTAATCTTTATTCTTTTATTTTCCGTGTAAAATGTGTGATACCAAGCCGAGTGCCCTATGAAGTGGATTAAGATGCATTCTAAGTACCAAAAAAGACAAGGGTCCCTTGTTGTGTTAAACAGTTATCTATTTTTTTGTTTTTTTTGTATGACTAGTAATTTATTTGGAAGACAAGGCCCATTTATAAGCCAATGTGCAATAAAGAGAAAAGTACTCAAATCGAAGAAAAAATTATCAATAATGTCAACCAAGAACCATCTCTCTCTCTCTCTCTCTCCAAGCTTTTGGAGGAACTCAAAGGGAAAAGCTTTCTGAGCAAAATAAGCTTTATGTTTACATCCTTACATAATCTTGTTTCCTCTTGCCCCTAAATTGTACCGCTCTGCTTATTTTGTACTCTTCTTTTGCAAAGAACACTACTCCTTATATGATTTATTGTGCCATGAAACTCTATGCTACATTTTATTACTAGATCATGGACCTTCCAGTCGGAATCTTCATGTTAAAGTAGAATTTATAGTTGCAATAGTATGCTTCAAGTTTTGCTTCTTTGTGAATTTGCTCTTTTTTTTCCCCCCTCATAAAAGTTTTCTTAATGAACAGGTTATAGGCTAGCTGGGTATGCTTTATTTGTAGTAGTGTATGCTGGCTTAGAAGTAAGAACTTGCCCTCTCTCTAAAGCATAATATGTTTACAAGGCTTCATTAATCTGTCACTAACATCCATTATGTCATCCTTTAGGAGGTTCATGTTAAAAATAGTAAATGTTGTGTCTTTGTTTCTCATATCACAAGCTAAAAACAGTTGAATGAATTTCATTTATCATTTTATTTCAAGTCACAAATTCTCAATAGATCTACCTATGAACGTGAGAATTATCTTAAATTTCTATAAATAGTCCCTTTGATCATAAACAATATCCAACATGTGCAGAGTTCCATTATAATTCATGTATGAATTTTTTTTTTTTAATTCAACTTTACTGACACTTTGACTAATATGTTTTCCTAGATCCTTGCAATACCAGCTATCCCGTTAACCATGTCAGCTGGTCTACTATTTGGTTATATTATTGGCACTATCATTGTCTCTATTAGTGGAACGGTAAGTTAGAAGTTTTGGCAGTATGAAAGAACAAATTTTAAGGAAATGGGGTGTACTTGAACTTGTATCTTCTTACCCTTTCAGGTGGCTGCAAGTGTTTCCTTTCTAATTGCCAGATATTTTTCCTGTGATCGTATTCTTAAATTGGTGGAAGGAAACAAGAAATTTCTTGCGATTGACAAGGTAATTGGAGAAAATGGTTTTAGAGTTGTTATGCTTCTCCGTTTGAGCCCTTTGCTTCCTTTCTCTCTTGGAAATTATTTATATGGACTTACATCTGTGAAGTTTGTTCCATATGTGTTAGGAAGGTTTGCTTCTTGTATATATTAATGGGAAAGAGCAAAAAAAAATTTGTTCAGATCGAATCTTCAAATTTGTATGGAGGCAACCATGATGATCTTCAAATTTGTTGATGTTTTAAAATTTCTTGATCATTTCTTAATACCTCAAGAAATATTTTTGTCCCTGAGTCGTTAGTTTTTGTACTTATGTGAAGTTTCCTTTGTCATGCAGACAAGAAATGCAACAAGGTTAGTTGCTCCAGCTATTGCCACGAGTTTAGGTGCCTTAACATATACATTGGGCACCCTCGTCCCTATGATAGGAGCAAGTGGATTTGCTACAGCTGCACCTGTAACTGCTATAGAAACTGTTGCCGGTAGTTTTAGATAATCTCTCAATAGTTATCGATATGTTTAGAAAGTTAGATATGCATAGTTTTGGGTGGTTTAAACTTTTTGTACATTTTAGAACTTAAAGATATAGTTTTCGTATCTTTAGAATGTATAGACAATTGTTGAATGTTTATAATTTATGGATATAGTTTCTTTTTGATGTTTCAAACAATATTTTGGTGGTTGATTGATATTTTGTGATGCTTGTTTGTAATATTTGTTAGATTGTACAAAATTGGTCAAATAGAACCTGTTGAATTTAAAAATAAAAATAAAAAACTGCATATTCTACAGCAGACATAATAAGTAGTCGTATTACACATTTTACGTCGCGCAATCAGCGTCGTTATTTGTCTTACCAATTAACGACGTACAAAATCTGCCGTTAAATAGTTTTTAACGACGTACTATAGTATGTCGTAGAAAAAGTAACAACGACGCACAAAATCTGCCGTTAAATAGTTTTTAACAGCATACGAAGCATGTCGTTGAAAGTGAATGACTTTCCATGACTAATCATAATATGACGCGCGCTACACGTCGTAAAAGAGTTTTTACAGCATGCCCATTTTTCTTTTTTTACTCCATCTATTTCTACCTCTACACATAACTCTACCCCTACTCTTCCTCAACTACACTTCTTTTTCTAGTCCTCTTTTCAGTCTGCTCCTGCATCTGTTTAGCCATCTGCGGTATCAATTCGGCTTCTGTTCTTTGCTTTCAACCTTCTACTCCTACTGTTTCTGCTTTGCCTGCAGCAGTTTAGTATGCTTTTGGCCAACCTACTGCTGCCACTGTCTTCCCTGGTCTGTCTGTTACTGCCTTGTCTCCATCTTCTGCTGTCTCTCCCTCTATTCCTATTTCCTCTCTAACTATTGACCTCCCTTTTGTGCATCATATTCCTGTTTTCCTTGCTCCTTCTTACTCTTCTCTAAATATTCATCCCATGACTACCAAGTCCAAGTCTTTTTCTTCTTCTGCTCTTCTCTCTACTATTTCCCCTCTTGTTGAACCCACTTGTTTCTCTGGGTTTAAATGCTATGCTTTGTTCATTGATGAATTTAGCAAATTTACTTGGGTTTATCCTCTTTGCTATAAAAGTGAAGTGTTTACCAAATTTATGGAATTTAAGGTGTTTGTTGAAAATCAATTTGAGACTACTCTTAAAAATTTTCAGACTGATGGTGGTGGCAAGTACACTAGTTCTCTATTTGAGATTTTTCTTAGAACACATGGCATCTGTAGACACCCCATTTTTGATCGTCCTCAAGACTTGGACGTCACCATTGGAATACTTGGTGATTACCCTTGTTTATGTTCATCTTGAGTTCCCGGAGGTCTTGGTTGCGCGCCCTGCCTCAGGATCTCTCGACTCGACCGTGTTGTGTCTGGTTTTGCACCAAACACTTGTGTTTTGCCTTGGAGAAAAAGTAACAATGACGCACCAAATCTGCCGTTAAATAGTTTTTAACAGCATACGAAGCATGTCGTTGAAAGTGAATGACTTTCCATGACTAATCATAATATGACGCACGCTGCACATCGTAGAAGAGTTTTTACGGCATGCATTGTGTGCCATTTTCCTTTTTTTACTCCATCTATTTCTACCTCTATACATAACTCTACCCCTACTCTTCCTCAACTACACTCCTTTTTCTAGTCCTCTTTTCAGTCTGCTCCTACTTCTGTTTAGCCATCTGCAATATCAATTCGGCTTATGTTCTTTCCTTTCAGCCTTCTACTCCTATTGTTTCTGCTTTGCCTGCAGCAGTTTAGTTTGCTTTTGGCCAACCTGCTGCTGCCACTGTCTTCCCTGGTCTGTCTGTTACTGCCTTGTCTCCATCTTTTGCTATCTCTCCCTCTATTCCTATTTCCTCTCTAACTATTGATCTCCCTTTTGTGCATCCTATTCCTATTTTCCTTGCTCCTTCTTACTCTTCTCTAAATATTCATCCCATGACTACCAAGTCCAAGTCTTTTTCTTCTTCTGCTCTTCTCTCTACTATTTCCCCTCTTGTTGAACCCACTTGTTTCTCTGGGTTTAAATGCTATGCTTTGTTCATTGATGAATTTAGCAAATTTACTTGGGTTTATCCTCTTTGCTATAAAAGTGAAGTGTTTACCAAATTTATGGAATTTAAGGTGTTTGTTGAAAATCAATTTGAGACTACTCTTAAAAAATTTCGCACTGATGGTGGTGGCAAGTACACTAGTTCTCTGTTTGAGATTTTTCTTAGAACACATGGCATCATTCATCAAATGTGTTGTCCACACAGTCTTCTCCAAAATGGAGTTACCGAGAGAAAACATAGGCACATTGTCACTACTACCATTGCTTTGCTACAGCAATCTGGTCTTCCCCTTGCTTATTGGTTTGATGTTCTTGCTACTTCTATCTTTCTCATTAATAGGTTGCCCAGTTCTAAAGTTCAAAATCAAACTCCTTATGAGGTCATATTTCATCATTTCCCTAATTTTGCTTTTCTTAAAAGCTTTGGCTGTTGGTGCTTTCCCTGGCTTCAACCCTATGCTTCTCATAAGCTAGCCCTTAAGTCAATTCCTTGTGTCTTCATTGGTTATCACCCCTCTATCAAGGTATATCGTTGCCTTGATCCTATTTTTGGCAAAATTTATTTGTCTAGGCATGTCACATTTGATGAATCACTTTTACCTTTTCTTACTCCATATATTTCTAACTCTACCCCTACTCTTCCTCAACCACACTCTTTTTTTTGGTCCTCTTTTCAGACTGCTCCTGCTTCTGTTCAGCCATTTGTTGTGTCAATTCGATCATCTGTTGTTTCCTTTCAGCCTTCTGCTCCTGTTGTTTCTGCTTTGCCTGCAGTAGTTCAATTTGTTTGTGGCCAGTTCACTGTTGTTCAGCCTACTGTTGCCCCTGGCTTGCCTGCTGCTTCCACTATCTTCCCTAGTCTACTTGCCACTGCCTTGTCTCCATCTTCGGCTATCTCTCCCTCTATTCTTATTTCCTCTCTAACTATTGATCTCCCTTTTGTGCATCATATTCATGCTTTCCCTGCTCCTTCTCACTCTTCTCTAAATATTCATCCCATGACTACCAGGTTGAAGTCTTCTTCTTCTTCTCTTCTCTCTACTATTTCTCCTCTTGTTGAACCTACTTGTTTCTCTGAAGCTGCTCTAACTCTTGAATGGTCTCAAGCCATGCAAGAGGAATTTCAAGCCTTACAAGCCCAAGGAACTTGGTCTCTTGTTCCTCATCCTCCTCACAAGCAAGCTATTGGCTGTAAGTGGGTTTTTCGCTTGAAGAAAAATTCTGATGGCTCCATTGCTCGCCACAAACCTTATCTTGTGGCTAAGGGCTATCTCCAACAGGAAGGCATTGATTATCACGAAATGCTTAGCCATGTCGCCAAGCAACCCGCAGTCTGAGTTCTCCTTAGCATTGCCCTTCACTTTAATTGGTCCATTAAATAATTGGATATTTCAAATGCTTTTCTTCATGGTCTTCTTCAGGAAGAGTTTATATGGTGCAAGCTCCAGGTTTTGAAAGTTCTTCTTCTCCTCATCATGTGTGCAAATTGAAAAAGGCTCTCTATGGGCTTAAGCAAGCTCTTTGCGCTTGGTATTCAACTTTTCCTCTTATCTTCTCTCCTCTGGCTTCACAAATAGTCATTGTGACTCTTTCTTGTTCATACAAAGAACTTCTACCACTGTTACTTTTCTTTTGATCTATGTGGATGAAATAGTCATTGTGACTCTTTCTTGTTCATACAAAGAACTTCTACCACTGTTACTTTTCTACCACAAAGAACTTCTACCTTCTGGCTTCACAAATAGTCATTGTGACTCTTTCTTTTAGCTCGCATTGCCTCTGGTTTGTTTCTCTCTCAGCCCAAATATGCCACTGACATTCTCTATAAGTTTGGTATGATGATTTGTAAACCATGTTCTTCTCCCATGGCATCTAAATCCAATCCTCTTTCAGATACTTTGGTGACCTTTTCTCAGCTGTCTCTGTATCGTAGTATTGTGGGGGCCTTACATTTTATGACTTATTCACCCAAAAAAAAAATGGTGTACTCTTCACTTCTGGCTCTTTAGATTTGCATGCTTTTTCTTATTCGGATTGGGCCAGCGATGTTCTTGATCGTAAATCTACCACTGGCTATTGTGTCTTTCTCGGCCCTAACTTGATTTTATGGTCTGTGAAGAAATAATCAACTATTTCTCAGTCCTCCACTGAAGCAGAATACAGGGCTCTTGCTCAAGCTTCTGCTGAACTTCAATGGCTTCACATGCTTCTACAAGAACTTTCTCTTTCTTTTGCCACTCTTGTTTTATGATGTGACAACCTTTCCGCTATTTCTCTTGCCTCTAATCCTGTTTTCCATGCTCTCACTAAGAACATCGAGGTGGATTATCATTTCATACAAGAGCAAGTTCTTTCTCACAAAGTTATGGCTAAACTTGTGTCTTCCTCTGATCAAGTGGTTGACTTATTCACCAACCCCTTCTCGTGGCTCAATTTTCTTATCTTCTTCCCAAGCTTATGGTGCGTTCCTCACCCATTCGCTTGCGGGGGTCTGATAAGAGTATGTCCCCAGCTCAAGCAGTATATCCCCAGCTCAAGCAAGTAGAACCCACAAATTAAAACAGAGGATAACTTCCATGTTTGTTAATAGTTGGTTAGGTTGCACTCTTGTATTGTAAATACTCATGTACTGGTTTGTTGTGAAATGAGATTGAAGATTTCATTTTCTCATCATTGGTTACGTATCAAAAAAATAATTTAATATCTGTAGTCACATAATTTTATCATATTAGTGTTGTAATAGTTTTTTAAATCATATGTATCATTCATTTATTTGACAAGAAATATAAATGATATCATGTGATTATCTTATCAAATCTTTATCTTTCATATTTTTTAAAAATAGTGCCTAAAAAATAAATAAAGTAGATTATCGAAGTGAGAAGATGGTCTAATCGATCCCACCTAGGAGACAAATTGGACTCTTAAAATAAAACAAGCTC